TTTTTTTTTTTTTATAGATTTATTGCATTTAATATATATATTTTTTTAATATTAACTTATTTTAGTTTTGTTCAATTTTTGGTTTATTTTGTAATTCCTTAGCTGTTACACGATGAAGAATGAAACTTGTGCTTAACTATTTATTGTCCAAACTAAATAATGTTTCAAGCTTAGCAAGCCTTAATAGGTAACAATAAAAATCATTTTAAATGTATTTTCCAAAAAACAATGACTAGATTATAATGAGGTTTATTAAAAATTTTAAATGATTTACTTTACTATTTTCCTCTCCCCCCCGTACATGTATTTAAGTGCATGTTAAGTTAAATGCATTTCATTTTTCGTTCATGCTTAAACAATACCGCACAAATGAAAGTTCTTTAGCTATCATACCGCCGACATGGCGTTGGCATGGTCTAGCGAATGCGATTTAGGTCTTTCGAATATCATTAGTTGAGTGTTGCCCTTGTTGGAGCGGCGACTAACCGTCAATGAAGTGGTTAGCGTACGCATCGAATCGCAGCTATTGTGCAGGCGCCGGCCAACTGTGTTGCAACGATTTTGCGTTGAATTATCACGATATGTCTTACAACAACACGTAAACCATTTAAAAGGCGGAAAGCGGCTAAAGTTGCAAAGAAAGACATTATTTACTACAATTCTCGATTTCGATAATTGAAATTTTGTTAAAAGCTTCTCATAAATTACCTAAATGTTCTAAACACCGCGGAAGAGAAAATGCAATAGATTAAGGGATTGGCGGCCGAATTGAGTGGCGCCAAACTTTGTATAAACGTAGCTATGGCTATATTCGTTTGCGTTGGTGGGATATGTCCGAACACTTGCAGCAAATCGAACACGATATACGGCGACCAGCATAATATGAATACAATGACTATGACGAAAGTCATTTTAACCGTTTTGACTTTCGCTTTTGGTATAATGCCACGTGAACTGGCGCGTCGGTTATTGGCATCCGTAAATCCGGTGCCAGTGCGGCCAGCAGCGCTTGCGAATACCGATCCTTTGGCCCAGATAGTTTTCACTATTACCGCGTAACAGATCGATATTATGAGGGCGGGAAATGCAAACAACGTGGCCGAAACTAAACTCATGTACACCTGCCAGGCCAATGGTGTTGCAAATTCTATCCAACATTGCGTCCGTCCCTGTATTAATTTCTCTTCGTAGAGCAGCAAAATGGGTAGCGAAAATAATGCCGCTACAAACCACGCTCCAGCGACTAATCGACGTGCTCGTTTCCCTTGAAGAAGAAAATTAAAAAAAGAAATTGTTCTTTAACTTTGCGCTTTACGTTACCAATAGCATGTATGTAAATGTCGTTCAAAAAAGTGCAACTTACATGACTTTGAGAAATTCATAGGATGTGTTATGGCGTCATATCGGTCAATGCTCATGCTCACCAGTACATAGGTAGATGAATATGTTACACAAGCTTGCGAGAAACGTATCACTTTACAGGCAATATTACCCGCCCGCCACGATATCGTTATCCGCCATATAATGTCGGTTAACACATTTAATAGGCCCACACACAGATCTATGACGAGACGGAAGAACATTAGAAGAAGAATTTCTAGAGTTCCGGTTCGTTCGCTTGTTCGTTCGTTCGTTCGCTATTCGCATTATAAAATGGAAATTGTGGACATTGTCTTTGCCCACACATTCTCTCACAATTACACAATTTGATAAAACATTTTTGCATAAATTTATACCAAAGGGTAATATTTTAAATATTCATTCGTTAATTGACTGTTTATCGCTTAATTTCAATTTTTCACTTACCAGCTAAAGCCAATTGCTTGATGAAATAATTCATGCGTGATTTTCGATTTTTATTCATGAACATCACGAATAACACGGCAGAGTTTCCCAAAACAATTACCGCAAATAATATCCATAGCACAGCAAATTGTTCGGTCTGCAAAGAGGAAACAACTTGAAATTAAAATTCCATGGGAACGAATGAATTCTTTCTAAAATCAAAAAGCGAATCAATAAAAATATCAGAATTTTATATAATATTCGTAAGCTCTTCTCCGATTATTGCAGGGAAAGCCACATTTTCTGATCACTTAACTGAATAAAGACAAACAGTGTCTCATAAATCGTTAAAAGTCTTTTTATTCGGGTTATCGTGTATTATGTACTTGTCGAATCCGGTCATCGAAGCTCATGAGCGAGTTCATGAAAGTTGTAAAAAATATACTTAAGCCTTGACTTGAATTGATTTGTGATGCAAATGAAGAATACGACGAGTGCGGCAGCGCCTGCCAACCGGAATGTCATAAGCCTAACGTAGATTCTTGCAGGACGGACTGTATTTTAGGTTGTGGATGTAAGCAAAGAATTCTGAGAAATTCGGATAGGCAATGTGTCGCACCAAGCGCTTGTAATCCATAAAATGGATATCAATTCAAGTTCAAATATATGTTCATAAAAACTTCCTAAAACTAAACTTTGCCGTAAGGAAAAAGTGTACGCATTTACTATGTGATGACGTAAAACACTCATCCCTGAATGCAATCTTTAATATGCGAATACCATTATCAATACCAGTTGCATAACCATAGCCATAGGGTTGACATATTTGACTGACTAAATGGATGCGTGCATTAGCTACCTTTCATAAATTTGTTGAATATTTAGCTAAATTTTAAAGAAACTCTTGTCAAAATCTTTTTCGTTAGTTGAGAGGTTCGTAAAAAAATATTCCGAAGTTTATGAACGGTCTTTTCTACTACTTAGCAAGGATTTCTACACAAGTCGAGAACGTGAAAGAATTTCCTCTTGACTCCCTTTATAACTTTTTACGTCTCTCTACTTTCCTTTGACTCCTCTTCCCCCACCCCGCTCTCTATCTCTTACACTATTTTCTTTATTCATTGCTTTCCTGGCTCTTTCTCACTGCCTATGGCTTTTTCTCCCTATTTTTCTTCATTCACTTTCTGCCCTGGTTTTATAAGACGTCTCCAAAAGGTAGTTGCAGCCTTACGTTGAAATCACTGATATTGCAAACAAAATGGTGTTTTTCTTCCCATCTCAATCCTTCTCTATTTGTCCTTCGATTTTTCCCTCTTCTCTCTTCCTCTTTCTCTCTATGTCTTTTCGTAATAGGGCGTCTCTAAGAGATCGTTGGAGCTTTACATGGAAATCACTGACCTTAAAAATAAAAAGAAGAATTTTTAAATTCAATCTCTTCCTATTTCCACCTCTCTCCCTCTCTCGCCCTCACTATTCCCTCCCTCTCTCCGTGTGACCAGATAACAAATAGCCACCGGGACAGAAGAACTGACAGCATAGAATAGATTCAAAAAATGATTCCGAAATCGAATTCAATCGATCCAATTCGATTCTCGAGTGTATCCTTAATGCAAATGGGGTAGAGTATATATGGACAATTGTTTTTTTGTTTTTCACTCATTCAATATTTCGTGCTGCATACTGAGTTATATATTGCCGCTTGACAGATGCTATTTGCACATCAGCGACTCCAAATATGTTATGTGTCATATTGACGGAGGTTGATACATAATAAAAACCTTCTATTTTTCGTAAAAGCCGTAATGGATTACACTAAAGCCAATCGGTCAGAAAGATATAAGAACGCTTTCGTTTAAGTAAAGGCCAATAGAGTAAAAGGTTCACCGCTTCCGCTTAATATTGTCCTTCTATCGGTCTACGCCTAAACAGCCATTGGCTTAACAATTGAAGTGAAATCTATTATAAAATTGCGCCTTAAATAGAACTAATTTCGTATGAATTGTTGTTGTGAAGCAAATAAAGTCGTTTATTAGCATATTTCGTAGAAGTCAACTTATGCTTAATGCTTATGGGTGCTAATCAAATTAACAACTAAAATTTAATATATAAATGTTTTCCATTCCTTTTGGCTTTTGCTTAGACGTTGGTAAACGTTTTACAAGCTATTGAGCTGAAAAGTAAATGAGTTAAGTCCTAAATCATTGTTTATCCTCATTTTAAATTTATTGAGTTTTTATCCTTTTGAACAAAATACTTCGGTAAATCTTTCTAGTTTCCCATCTATGCTACGGCCGTTTTTAGTTAAGACAAAACATAAAGCTTCTTTGCCTATTTGCCAGGGAAAAATATAAAAAAAAAAAATAAAAAAAATATTATTCAATGTCAAGAAGTTAATAGGCAGGCGGAGGAGACAATGTGAACAAAGAATGGATGGGAAAAATTGCTTTCCTTAACCCAGAGGACATATTTCATTGCTTTCGGTGCATTGTCTGTAATAAATCTCTTAAGTTTAACAAACAATATTTTCTAGCGCTTTTAAAACTCTTCGCCTTACGCTTAATGCATGCATACACAAATATGTATATAAATCCTTATGGCAGCGAGGATATCTTAAGATAAACAAGATATTAACGTAATTTATATGCTATGCACGCAAACGCAAATATAAAATATGACAGCATTTACTAAAATGAGGTTAATGAGTACAAATATTATTCAAATGTTAAACAATATTTAATAGGTTAGAAACTGAAGAAGGCGAACGCCGACTTTAACACAACATATGCGAATGAAAAATAAATGTCTGCCAAAATATTATAAATAAATCAAAATTAAACACATATTGCATGGTAGTGACAGACGCCGATTGCTTTGTAAACTTCAAGTGCTTAAGGAATGTCTTTAGGGATTTAAAGTTCAAGTTCAGGTTGGGAATGTTTAAGCAGTGAAGCTGGTGTGTAATGAAGTGACGGCGAAGGCCTAATTCAAGGCGACCACTAGAACTATCTAGTACATCACATGCATGTATATCATATATACGATATACAGCCATGGACGCAGAAATAGTTACAGTTCACCATGAGAATGAACGTTAAAATGCATTAAGAAAAATTTTACATTAATTTGAGATATAATTAAAAGAACTTATGAAATACTTAATAATTTTTAAACAACTGTAAGGAAAGTTTTTTTTCATATACAAACGAACAATTCCAATTATATGTGAATACATGGCTGGGAGTATGCATGCGCGTATCTCCTTGAATGCTTGTATATACGCCGTTTCTATGTCCCATTGCATGGACGTGTAGCATAAATCCAAAGCACTATTGCCTATGCCTATGAACTTGCGAGTTCTATTGCTTTTGTGCGTCAGGCAATAACAGAAGCCAAAGCAGGTTCTTACAACATTTTGGATATAAGGTCTCATCTCACTCGCACAAATGCACGCATGTTTATGATAGTATACTAACGTGTTTATATATATTATTAGCTATCATTGATAAGTACACCTATTGATGATGTTTGTATCGGTGGACATGCATTTTAGACGATTGACCAAAACATGTTAACTTCAGCCTTAATTACGTAAGAGTTCGACAATCGATGTACTGAGAATCACATTATATCCAATCTTACATCGGCAATCGAGCTCCAGTTAGCTCTTGCTTCCCAAATCAAACAATAAATGAATACCATATTAATCTGAGCGTTTTATTTGGACAAAGAAATTTCATGATGATTTACTATATGCCTTGTCAATATATTTATATATATATATATATCTTTTCATATAGTCAGTCGTATGTAAGTTCTTGGAATGCATGTAATAATGAACTAATAATTAGTAGGAAGAAATTTGGCTGCCGCGAAGCCGAGTAGACCAGAGCCGCGATTGTGAAGTCAGCTTTTAATCTCAGTGCGGTCTGGCCGCACTTGGCCGGAGCTGTAGTGGGAGCTTTGTAACTAAAGTGATAACTTGCCGATTGGACACAAACCCATTAGGCTACGGACATACTCCTTATCTTCTTCGTCTTTCGCTTCGTCTTTCTGACCATGTTCCTTACAAAGTTTTCGATGAACACACCTACACAATTGTGAACACCTTTCTTTTCCCTATTTTTGCTTAAAAAAATAGAAAAAATCAATTACTTTCATCCAATATTATAGTACAGTAAAAGCTACTTATTCGCGCTTCGTTCATTCGTGTTTTCACTGTTCGCGGATCAAGAAAAAAATTAAAAAAATGCCTATAATCGCGGCTATAAATTTCTTTATTCGCGGATCTAATAAGTACATACAAAATAGTAAAAGGATTCCAATAGGTATCCAATAACCATTCCTTATTCACGGTTTCTGTATTCGCGGCACATATATCCCGCGAATAAAGAACTTTTGCTGTATATGAAAATTTAGTTCTTTTCATTTTTTCTAGGTCCACGATGATGGGTGTAAAAAATTCGTTCTCGACCGAATGTAATTTTATTTGTTTTGGATGGAAGAAAAAGCGATGGAATAATGATATTCGGGGAAGTTATAGTGAAAGTCAGTTTTAAAATATGACAAGATTGGAACTGTTCCCGCGAAGCATAGTCATTCTTGGGATGAAGAATGCTTGAGAGAATGCTTTTAGAAGCATTTGTATTCGCCCATAAACATAGATATAAGTAAATGAACTCTTTCCGGTTTATTGAGTTTAAGGAGGATTTTAAGTTTTAATGAAATCGCAAAAATTCATTTGAGTTAAATGTATTTTAAATACGAAAAATGTTTTTTTTTTTTTGAAAGATTGTCTATTGTAGAGAAATAATAATGCTCCCGTTGTCTTATAATCCTGTGCTGAGTAATGCATGCATTAATTATTTATGTTTTTAAAGGTTAAAAGCAATTGAATGAAATTAAATTTCTCGTCTTTTTCAATTTTTAACGTTGTTGCCACTCACCTCATAGAAGTAAAACGAATTTAAATTATTAACGTCATCGGTTGCGTTCATTCCCATCGAGCTGCTATTTCGCACGTTATTGTTACTTTCGGTGCTGTTGTTGTTATTCTGGTCATTGTTGCTGCTATTGTTAGCTGTGTTTTGCAAGCTGTTGGAATTTACAAATACAGCTGGCAGCAAATGATCCTCAAAAAACATAGTCGCTGTTATGGGTGTTGATGCCATCAATACATTCGTCTCTGCATTTGTTTGCTGCACTATTACCTCGCCTTTAACAGCCTCACTTTTTCCATTTATATGTAACTGGGAAATATTTTTTGCTGTTGTTGTTACTACATGTTTTAGCGATACGTTCGCCAATGTAGGATATGTCAAAGCAATGGCATAATGTTCATTAACGTAGTCAGAATCGACCTCGTCCGACATCGTCTCAGATATTGTTTTTCCTGCTTCGGTTTGCTTATTGGTTATCATGCTCTGCTTTGTTCGCACATTGTAAACCTCAAATACTGAGTACACGATGTGAAAATGTTTTATGATATTATTCGTAATGAGTTTGAGAGGCAGTTATCACTGCTACACACATGTACATTGCATATTGCATTATTGCATCATTATGTGACGCTTTTAGCATAACAAGAACACGAACGTGTATCTTGGTTACGTTGTTAGTATATTTTTTGGTTAAATTCAATTAAAAATTTGCTTACAAGCAGTACAATGGACGTATGTGCAATACGATATATTGCATTGTAATAAAATAGGCGGTAACCTAGATCTCCAATATTGTAATTCCCATCAAGTTTCCTAAAAGTATTAGGAAAAGTTTTCAATTTATTTTCTTATCAAGTATATATGTAAAGTGAATTTATTTCTCCGTTGATATCGGCTTTCAATGCAAGTTTTCCATTTTTGTTTGCTTTAATTGCTTACATATCTTCTTTCGTTCAGCGAAGGAACTAAACAAAAAAATACCTAGTTTTCGTGGCTCTTATGCGTCATATGTGCGGGGTATGTGTATTTGTAAGTTTCACGTAATCATATACACGATGAATCCGTCAAGACCAAGCTACATACTCAGTGATGAGGACACGATTCGGCAGAGGATATCTATGAAGAAATTTGGCAATAAAATCCTCTCGATCGGGTTTCCTTATCATAATGTTTGGATATGGGGGGCGTGATGTATTTATTGCAACATCTTCTTTCTTGGGGAAAGTCTTAACCGTTCGCGTTTCAGGTACATCGCCTTTCTTATTCGCTCCTATATCGGGAAGATACCTGCACGCACATCGCAATTCAGTCACGTGGACGAATATGCTTGTTAGGTGTCGAATGTAAACATGACCGTTTCTCCGAAGAGATGACGTCGCTCTCTCTGGGACTCTTAATTAAACGATGATTTCTTTTTGTAATGATACGCCCTACGTGAACATGTGTTTAAGCTTTATCCGGTTCACGTGTACACAAATTTATTTTATTTGAGCTTTGAATAGAACGAGCTCTGTACCGGAAAAGAAAGGGATGTTTAAGACAAAAATTGTTAGCTTTCTTGGATAGAGCTGGCGAGTCGTGACAAACGATGAACAATGACAGCGTTAAGATTTATTGGGACCAGGCACTCATGATGCATTGTAACCAGATGAGTTACTAACATCGTTGGCGTGGTTAAAAACGAACAACATACGTAGCTGTAAATTCGTTGCAACATATCAGTAGACTGAGAATGGAGTATGACTTTGAAATAAAGATTGTGTCTATGAATGTAAATACACCGTTATGTATATAATTAAACACATTTTATTGCCTTGGCAGCGAACGTTGGATATCATCCATTAAAATCAGAAAACATTTAATTTGGCAGCTAAGCCTGATGTGTAAGTTGTTTAATATATGACAGAAGCGTTGCTACCAGTGACAGCTGTAAAGCATGTAAGTAAAAGCACAGCAAAGAAGTATAAAGTGCAATATTATTTGCCCACTAAGGTTGTAGTAAGTTGATTATTTAGTTTGTACCCATTATAAATGCTAGATATTCTGTAACCCTTCACCACGCAAGTTTTCCTTGAATTATTGCTTAGTATTAATTAAGCGAGCTCAAGTAAGTGCACAAGTATGTGCTCGCTGCTAATCACTTGATTGTTTATGGTCTTGTTGAAGACGGTTTGATAACTTCAAAAAAGTTCTGCAGAGAGCGGAACAAACGGTAGCTTGCCAGGAAAAACGCCGATTGCGCCCTTGATTCATCAAATATTCCCATTAAACCACCGAATGTTTAAGAGGTCTGTGCTCGTGATGGAAAACGAGATTTAATCATTGTCCAATGATCAATTGCGCGCAAGATTCCCCTCCAAACCCATCCAACTTACGTGAAGTCAAACTGGATATCTTCGCACGTTCTTATCCTATCCGGCTCATTTTTCATCGCCCTTTATCAGTCTTCTGAAAAATGACTTGATTTCGTGTCGCTTCAACCGGCGATTTTTTTAAAGTTTCGTCTTCACTTTATTAACTCTAATCTTACCATGCCCTGACTTTGAGCCACTTTTAAGCCTTGGACGTATTGTACGGTCTATGTGGGGGGATAAACTATGTTTTGCGGGTCGGCATAGATGTGCCGAAACTCTCACCTCCATGTGGTGATCCCCGGGCAACGGTTTTAACCGGCTAAGAAGAGTTTAAGGCTTGAACTATTATAACTCGGCGACGAGTTTTTCTGAAAGATGTTTTTAGGGGTTCACTGGGGTATAGTTTTATATACCCTCTCAATAAGCTTTTTACTATAGAGGAAAGTCTAACCAGACTCAATGGTAGCTGGTTTGTACAAGTACAACGAATATAGTATTTGGTGAGAGCATGGAAAATCTGGCCATGTCAGTTGATACGCCCGACAACTGTATATCTTGAAGATAAATAGTTCGGGATTTGGCCAACCTTGACGGTATGGTAATAGTCTAAAGGCAAGAGTGGCGTATTTTACTTTATGTAATACAAAGCGCAAAGTTATACTAAAAGCTTTGTAGTCTAAATATTTGTTTCCACGGGGGTCAGGAGCCCGCTCACAGGTTGCAGAACTAGGAAGGTATATCGTCCCTGTGAGCCCTGACTGCTTGGGTACGGCCCTTCGGGGAGTATCGTGGTGGCTGTGGTTTTCACCTTTCCATAGCCATTGGAAAAATTCGAGGTTAGGATAGGCCTTACCACCTACCAGAGTGGTTTGGCCATACCCAGTGCGCTGTCTGAGCACCTCGGGGTAAGAAAGGCCCCCTTATTAGGGGATTGTCTTTCCCCCCGGGGGGTGATCATTCGACTTAAATGAGTGCCTATGGTTGTAGGCAACCCGTCTGATTAAGGCATCACGCCAGGTGCAGACGTTAAACCCCAAGAGACATCTGTACGGTCTATGTCGCGGGAAGAGCTTTTGCTCGGTGTGGAGTTGCATCGCAACCGGGTGCCTTACCCACAGAAAGGCAGAGGTTTTAGATAGTGCCTCGCTCTCACCAGAGGGGAGATGCGACCATAACGTATCTCGTCTGATCTCAAGTACCAGACTTAATATTCCCCATGGCAACGTGTGCGCCGACTTTGGCACCGTATGTTGCGACGATTATTAATCTCGGGGAGTTCGAGTGTTTCACACTCCTTGTGCCATCGGGCATCGTGGGGTTAAACCTTCACGGTAGTGTGAGAAACGAAAACAATAATATCTGAGTTATTCTCGGAATAGTTATAAGTAACTGATAGTTATATAGTGGTTTCATTGATTGTAAAAAACGTCATAAAAGTAGACTTAATAGGACTAGTTCACCAGAGGATGGCGTGTCTTTCTTCTCGAAATTTCCAGAGTGGAAAATTCAAAGCGTTTTTATTATTAACCTTTTTTTTTTCATAAGATTGCAAAGTCATTGTCTCCACTAAAATGATATCAAAAATGTCAGCTAAACTCTTCATAATTTGTGGCTCATTTTCAAAACTCGATGACTTTCGTTCAATTGAATAACTGCTACTTTTTATATAAAGTTGACAAGTTTAGTTTAATGAAAATTACGCGACTCTAAGTGTATATTTTGGCAAAAGCGCCACGAACTTTTTCTTTCACCTACTACCAGTGTATCTGATCTGATTAAATATAAAATGATTTAAAGTTTAATAAGAAATTTGCTGAAATTTTAATATTTTTTAGCTGTTTCTTTAAGGTAAAGTTATTTAAAAACGTAGACTTAAGTAAGAGACTATTGGCTTTTAAATCCATTATGCATTCGTCGATATGCTTATAAAATGAAATTATTTTCAATAAACTTTTCCAAGTCAACGTGCAAATGTTTATATAAATATTTCGTCATTCAATTGCTTTCCTTAGAAGCAAGCAAGTGAGTGGAAAAACTTAGCAAAGCTCTATTATTAGCTGTGAGTTTATTTTGGTTTCTTTCATGAAATACATAATAAAGAAACACAGGAGCAGGTTACAAAAGTTGCACCATTACTAAGACTTTATTATTTATGGCATTCTAAGCTACTCATGCATAAAACGGAATTCCGTTACTTATATTCTTTGCACACTAAGCACTAAAAATCTCACTAACAACTTTTAACTTTCAATCAAAATCAACAAAGCAAAAAGAAAAAAAAAAACTTTTTTTTTGTTATTTTTTCAAATTTAAAGTAAATTATTTTCTTTGCGACTTTTGTGTTTTGGTAGAAATATTAACTTAGGTAACGCTACCTACTAGTGCTACCACTAGCAATAATAACTATGAGGCCAATGTAAATTAATTTTCGACTATTAAATCCTTTTACATCCGTTCTCGGGGAGATCATGATGCGAATGGTAACAAACTTCTTGTAATGAAAAGGTATGATTCGAACTCATCATCGGTAATAAATATGACAAACACATCCCAAACCAGTAGATCATGCCCACAAACCATTTGTCAATTTGACGTAAATGAGAAAAATGTCGGTTACAAAACAACTCTAATGCGTACAAGTGTATGCGTATGCGTATCCGTATGAATGCCATAGAACGAAACACTATAAGGGAGAAGTATATACAATCTATATATATATATATATATATATATATATGTATATGTCTTGAAGTCAGTGAAGCATTAACCAAACACGTTGTGACATTTCAAGTAAATTTAAATGCAAAAGTTATTTATATTTAATACTTTGAAGCAGTTACTTAAACATTTTAATGGAATTTGTTTAAATTTTTAAATTAAATTAAATACTTGACACGTTCGCGAAACTTTACCATAACTTACAACAATTATACGATGAGAAGTGCAGAGGTCCGTAAGGTATTTGGCTTTCGTAATTCTCTTCCGTAAAGCTCTTGCAATTCAACTTTAATTGATCCGTAAACTATGCAATCAATCAAAGCAATCTTACTGACCGGCAATGCATGCGAGCATGCGCTAATGTCATTGACTATGCGATTTAAATATAGTTCTTATAGCACTATTTAGCGATTTAGCAAAGGTATGTCAGGCGTAATTACACAGGGCAGTAAAATTTTGAGAGCTTAGTGACTCCGGGTTTGATGGAGGTATGTTTTCTGCAAGACCGTGTTCGAGATATCAGCATAGCGACATCTTAGCTTCGTGTAAAGTAACATATATACGGTCTGGCCTCTTACTATCTACATTACCAATTCATTATTTCACACATGTCAGCCTTTGGATGGGCGACGATTTTCACAGCGCACAGCACACATAGGCATGAAAAGGACATTTCTTGCAGTACCTTTTAATACTTCATTGAAGATTTGAAAAGAAAAAAGAAAGAAGAAAATTGTTCTC